TTTTAAATATTTATTATTTATTTATTTATTTACTTTGCCATCATACTTATACATTCATTGGCTGGGAAACCACAACAGCTATTGTCAATTACAGCGGCCCCAATAGTTATACAGAAACAATTTACAAGGTATACTAAACACACACAACAGACAATACTTGAACAACAGTCATTACATTTGTCTAAAAGCAGCATGTCAATGGAGAGTTCATTAAACTTCGAGCGGAATTACATTTTATACACACACTTTTCCATGTCCGGGGATCCTCAACATCGTATGTATTTTCTAATGCTAAAATATAGTACTTAAAAAGAAGATTCTTGAATTCTGAAAATGTTCGGTCTTTGGATGTAATATAATTGGGTAGTGTGTTCCATATTCTTGATGTTCGGATTTTGTAAGATTTTTCATAGGTTGACGTCTTGTATGTCGGAATTTTATATTTGTGCGAGTTGGGATTAAATGATCTTGTCTGTCTTTGACCTTGAGGTTGAGGAAATGGAAGGATTTTTTTATCAATATTAAAAATGTCGTGATTTGCCTTATAGAAGAATACTACATCCAGGTATTCGTGCCAGTAGCTGAGAGGGAGCAAACTGGTTGCAAGGAGTCGGTCGCTATACTCTATATCGCAAATAAAGGGAACATTTAAAATATATTTTGTTGCACGCCTCTGAACTAGTTCTACTTTTTTCACCAACTCAACTGTTTGGGCCGCCCATACTTGGGTGGCATATCCTAAGTGTGAGCGAACCAGAGAAAGGTACAGTGTTCGTCGAATTGCAAACTCGCGAATATTGAAAGTTGATCTTCGGATATAACCCAGCATTTTATTAGCTTCGTTACTTTGTTGTGTAACTTGCTTTGACCAAGTGAGATCGTAATTCGTCCATACACCTAAATCGAGTTCGCAATCAGTATATATATTCAATATATTGTTGGGCTGTTCCGAACGAGATTAAGCTGGTGAGAGCATGAGATAAGGTTTGTTTGGTGTCATCCGCGGAAACCCTAATTTCAAAGTATTGATCGAAGAATACGTGTTTCGTGTACGACGAGTCAACGTAGCAATTCAATTCAACGATATTTCCATCACGGGTCATAATTTGCCTGGAAAACTACTACAATAGAGGTTTGGATGAGAAAGCAATTACATTTCTGCTCTCCAAACCCTGTGTTTGAAAATCAGGTCAACGGTATAGCAAGTGAAGAATATGCAAACGGTTATACGCTGTTTGTATCTGGCCTCACTCCAGACCTATATGCCTTGGTGATCATGTGCAATTTCACAAGATCGTTTACCTCACGAAATACGAAAGAAACCCTGAGGATATATTCTTGTTAACGTGGATCCTTTCGATAAACCTGCATGGCATTGGGCGGCCGTGTACATTACGCAACGAGAATTTTGGGATTCCATGGTGAAGCACACAGATTTTCGTCTTCTCCAAGGTTTGGGTGTGTACCCGATACCTGGAACACGGTCGTGAAGTAACCCCTGTGTACCAGTTTCATATACTTTCTTGTGTTTGTTGAGCGCTTTCGCATTTTTCATAGTTTATCACACTTGCAACAGCAGTACGATGCGAGTGCTGTACCAGCTGTACCACGAACTCTTTCTTTTCGTTTTCCTCGTCACAAAGTTGCACAATTGATAAACGTGAATGTGCAGTTTCATATAACTTTTTCAATTCAGGCAATTCCTCTAACGTTACACATTCAAAACGATCATCGTGAACGTAACGTTCGTTATAACGCTTAGTATCACGTTCTAAATTGGGTGAGTGACATCCACGGTGTAAAGCCACGAGGCAGCGGAAGAAACACAATTCGTCCTGCTATAAAGGTAATCCGATTTTCTTGTTAAGGCCCTTACAGACCGGACGCGATTTGGCAACGTCACGCGAATTTTCAATTTTCAGTGACACTTAATTTTAACATTTTTCTATGTTTTTCAAATATTCGGAACCTGTTAAGCAATTTTAGCAATTTGGTCTGCATATCTTGTAAAATATTTATCCGTTGACGTTTTTATTTGTTCTCAAAACCTGAAAATTCGCGTCGCGTTGCCGAATCGCATTCGGTCTTTTGAATTGAATTGAATTTATTACAAAATCTGAATGGCAGCTAAGAGCTGAATTGTACAGAGTTGACATTTAAAATACATGGTAAAACTAATACATATAGTAATATACGGTATATTAAAACTAAAATTTATATTACAACTAAAATGAATCATTATATGATACGATACTAGAAGGAATAAAACTTTTACTAAATCTTGTAGTCTTACAATTAATTAAGTTAATATGCTGATCGTTACGTAGATTGTAAGTACGTAAGTCCTCGCGTTTATTAGGGATAAGTTCATTCAATTTATTTTCCGGGTTGAGAAGTTTCTTAAAATAGAATTTACATAAATTATTTCGTCTTTGAGAGAGCAACGATAATTCATGAACTTCCAAGGCTTTGCGGTATGACAGGTCAGGACATATTATTCGTAGGGCTCGCTTCTGAATTCTTTCGATTTCTTCCTTTAAATAGTCAAGGGAGTTTAAGTTCCAAACCTGGCATGCATATTCAAGCACAGGTCGTATACATGTGGTATAGACTTGAATTAGAGAATTCCCTCCAAGACCGCTGCGTTTAAGCACTCGGAGAAAAAAAAAGTCTCTTTGATGCCTTGTGTACTATGTGTTCAACATGTAAGTTCCAACTAAGATCAGAAGAAAAGTACAGACCAAGAACCTTTGCTGATAAAACTGGGGACATACAGTGATCTTTAATAAACAATGGTCGAAGATTAGGGACGTCCTTAGCGAACGAGATAATTAGCTCTTTGGATTTAGAACGATTAAGCATCATATCATTTTCCGTGCACCATTGATCGATATTATTAATAACGGATTGCAGGTTACTTTGACAACCTTTACCGATTGTTTCGGAGAGACTAGTGTCGTCAACATATTTCCATCTATCTTTGTGGTTAATAGCCAAATCGTTGACCATGATGAGGAAAAGTAATGGGCCAAGGATTGTACCTTGCGGGACGCCTCCATTTACCAAGGACCAATCAGAGAACGAAGAACCCAATTTCACCCTCTGTCTTCTTTGCATCAGAAAATCAATGACCCAGTTTATTAAGGATTTATCAATATTTAGTAATTGCATCTTTTTATCAGGATTTTGTGGTTGATTCTGTCGAATGCTTTACTAAAGTCAAGCAGAAAAACACGAACAGTCTCGCCATTGCCGTCTGTGTTAGAATACCAACAGTGGAACATGCTAATTAATGCGTCTATCGTAGAAGAGCCTTTTAACGATCCGAATTGTTTTGGGTCCAACTGAGACTTAATGGTATCCATAATCCATTGAAATGGAAATGATTCAAGAACCTTTGAGAGCGTGGCGGTCAGAGATATAGGTCGCAGGTCTGAAGATATATCCGTGACCGAGGATGTCTTAGGGACGGGAACGACATTTGCTTCTTTCCACTGCATTGGAACTTGTGCTTGTTTAATGGATGCATTAAAAATCATTGTCACAGGTTCTGAAGTCTCCATTGAAAAGTTATTGAGAATCCAATTTGGCAGAGAGTCTGGACCAGGAGCTTTATTCGATTTAACTGCTTTTAAACGCGATTCGACATCAACAACGGAGATAGGGTACAAAACGGTAGGTTCTTCCACAGATAATTTATCAGTAATTGAAAGCGGCGGTAACGATTTAGTGGCGGCTAAAAACCCGTTATTAACAGCGAGTGCTAAGTCTCGTCCCTGCAAGATAGTTCCATTCACCTCTGCAGAATGGAAGGCAGGCTTTAAAGAAAATCCAGCTAGGTTTTTAATAGCATTCCACCATTTCCTTGGCTTTGAATTTTTTAGATGATTCACTTGAGACTCGAAGTATTTAGACTTTGCCTGTTTCACGACGTGAATTACTTTATTTCGCAATTTGTTGTATTCAATTGTATTTCCCACGGCAAAGGCCTTTTGTCGTTGGGAGATGAGGAGTTTGATTTCAGGGGTAATCCACGCTTTGTCTCTACAGTGAAGTTTAACAGATTTTTGGGGAAAAATTGTATCCAAACCCATGAGAATAATGTCATAAAACAGGTCACACATTTTTGACAATCGGGTAGCTGCGAAAGTACATTCCAGTTAAGATCCAAAAGAAATCGACCAAATGCCTGCATATTTGATTGCTTCCGCTTT